GACATTTTCAGAAACTCATCTAAGTTTTCTTTTCAGTAGGGCAACCATCTTATTTTAAAGAAAATCCGGGATACTGCCCCCATCCCTGGCCGATCCGCATCGCAGGCAGGAAGAGTGGTGCCCAGTGCAGCCTGCCCTCCTGCATCCAGTTGCTGCCCAGGAGGATGCTAAAATAGAAGTTTGCCCAGAGCACCACAAACGCAGGAGCCGCCTGTGCACACAGCAGCGCTCACCCCCTGCTCTGCTCTGGCTGATCCCTGCTCTAGACAGGAGGAGCTGAGCTGGGCAGTGCAGCGCCAATCCTCAACTTTTGTTCCCATTTTCCCCAACCAGACAGGACAGCCTATGAAACCCAAAACTGTCCTGGCCAAACTAAGACATATGGTCACAGTTTTTTTTAGAGATGCTGGTGATGCTAGTGATGCTGGTAAGGAAGCTTAGTATGATTTTAATTTCATGGTACCTTATTAATTTTAATCCTAGGGTGACTCAAAGCAGCCCAAAAAATGAGGATGCATGCCTTCCTTCACCCAAGGAAAAGGATCCCAAGAGACACTATGGAAAGCCAGCAACTCTGATGCAGCCCTTGACAAGAACACAGCACTGTTCTGCTGTTGGGAAACACACACACGCAGAGCTGCTGCTTCTTGTGAAAACTAGCCATCAGTGAGGGGAGTGACAACTGGATGAGATGCAAGGAGAAGCTGCGTCTCCTGCCATTCTTCTTTGCTTTGCACTTCCCCTTTAGAATGCGATATGATGATTAAACATGCAAGCATGTTTATCAATGACTGATTCATTTAGCAGCTACTTAAAGAAAAATGCAGAGGGGAATAAAAACAATTACCAGCTTCCTCCACAGAGTACATTTCTCGCCAGAACATCCTGTGCTTGTAGTCATCTTTTGGAGCATACAAGTATGTATTTAGTCCCCATTTCTGAAGTCTATAGTTGGGGGAAAAAAGTCTCCATTAGGCAAGTATTCTATAAATACAAACAGCCTGCATTTTATAAGAGGATCGAATGCTTAAGTTCATCTGTCTGTCTGTGAGAACACTCGCTGCTATAACAGATGGTATTAACTCACTACAGTACTGAGTGAGTCTGAGTGACTTGACAAACCCAGAAGAGCCAGAGCAAAATGAAGAGGAAAATGTAAACACCTTGAATAGCTTTACATGAAATACTGCCCCAGATCAGGTGCAAACAGGCTTACAAAGTGAAGAATAATAGTTTTACTATGCTGGAATGTTGCACACCAAGGGGAAGTATGACTTGCCTTCTAAAAAGTTCCTTCCTCTGCTCCATAATCCAGGGTCTTCCATAAAATCCTGTGGGAAATTAAATTGAAAAATAAACAAACAAACACCCAACTGGCCATTTCATAGAACAGAGATTATAGCATAACCTCCCTCTTTCTTCTTCTCCTCTGTCAAAAAGATGTTTTTACTATATTCATCATAAAATGCTGGCGGGCAGAAATAAACCCTGCCTTAACAGTGTAAACATAATATGCTAAAATTACCTTTATTTTCAACTGAATTATACCCTAATTAAATTGTTATCCAGACTAATGACTCTGGCTAGTGAAGCAATTAATTTTAAGAATACAATCTGAATTTCTGTGAAGGACATCTGCTCAAGTCAAATCAGCATAAGTAGAAAAATCGGCCTGAACAGTAATAACGACCCAATTAAGGCAGCACTCAAAGTTCATTAAATAGTATTAATTGTAACAGCACAAATAACACGAAGTTCTGAAAATACTTACCAGTACGAGAATACCTTTTAAAACGGACAATATGGGAAACTGGGCACGTGGTGCTCAAACAGTTATACAGTGGGATTTATGAAACAGAAGACAGCTTGGATGGCCTGTCAAGATTTGCTCTCTTTTTTCATTTGATAAAATTCCTGAAATTGCCAACATCAGCTAGAAAACACTACGCTAGGCCATCTTGCACTCTGTGCACAGACTCGGGCTTTAAAGATGCAACCTCAGCTTGTAAGAAACAGTGCAAGGGGGCACAAAAAGGAAGCTTTAGCCCATAATTCCACGCCAGAAAACTCCAGGAGAAATGCCAAACCTGAGTGTTTCCTTCCAGCCCACTCTATACAAAAAATACTTGGAAAAGCAAAGTGCTTCTCACTTGCCCGTCATCCTTAGATTAATTTAATTTGGACCATGAGCCAACTCTAGTGACAAGTGGGCAGTTCACATTAGAAAGCTTCAGGATGGCAGTCTGTGCGACAGATCCAAGACTAAAATAACACTGAAATTTAATAAGCTCTCATTTTCAGATACCATGGCCACTCCGGATGTGGAATGATGCCATTAATACAGTTAAGTCTAGAGGCCCCTGCAAACACATCTGAAGGTGAAAAGCCCTTCTACTTCCACAGCTATCGACCTACTGTCAATATTGTAAAACATCAGGCTATTGATTAAAGCCTGTCTGTGCTCTCTATCTATTTAGAACAGATCATTTGAGAGTTGCCTACGTGGTAAAAATAATTGCAATTATCAATTAAAAGTCAACCCTGTAATGTCAGCTTTGAGGACCTCAAAGCAGGCTCAGCTCTTAAGGGTTACGCTTCCTGAAAAGAGCAATTTTCGGCTGATCGATGCCACAAAGCGGCAAAGCTGGGTACTACTGCTTCCATCTGGCTGAAACTGGAACCTGACAAATGGCGGATAGGTGCACAGCAGTGTGACAGAAGGAAGCAGTTGTGGCACATAAAAAGCAAACGAGGTAAGGGGACAAATCCTCTTGCTTTTCAGAGACAACAGAACTGCACTGAAAGGCGAGATTCCTCTTAAATTAGGAAAGCCAGCCTACCTAATCAAAGAGGGACCTAATTAATGTGCCATTTAGTCAATGCTTTCTATTTCTGTAACACGGTCAGAGAGACATCAGACCACATGCAAACTCAGCATCAAGAGAACAACAAAGGAAGTGAATAAGGAAGGACAGGGTCGAAGCACCGGGCTGCTCCCTCAGCCCCCTCCCGCTCCCCTTTCCTATTCAAAGCACTCGCTTCACTTCACACCCTGTCCGCATCCGGAGCCTGCAAAAGCTTGTGCTCGCGTGCGTCTGAGTCAGTTCTCCTGCAGAGGAGGAGGAGTGCCTCTACCTGCCTCGCAGCCATTTCACCTGGCAGCGCTCCTTTGAACGAGAAGGCCCAGACACGTCAGCCGACGACAATAGCAATAGTATTTCTGTGCAACCTCAACCCTCAGTCTTGTTACCTTTGTGCGGACGCGCCTGACAAGCTCTGGACGCAGTTCACGGTCTGCCCGGTTACTCTTACCCCTTCCCCCGCTCCCCACCGCCTTTCACACCCGACCCCTCGCCCTCACTTCGTGCATCCGAGTCGACACCTCCTGTGCGCGGCAGCCACACCGACAGCTGCCGGGAGCTGGGCCCCGAGCCTCCAGCCAGGCTGGGGGCCTCTGGAAGCCATCGAGGGACCTCCCGGGGGGGGAGGGGGAGGAGGAGAGAAACCCCCCCCCGCACCCACTGTAACACTGAAGACGGGAGCAGACGGGCACGTGAGGGGCGGGGGGGATAACAAAGGGTTAAGGGGGGGAGGGGTCCCAGCACGGTCCCTCACCCTCCACGACGCCGCAGAGGAAGCG